TGCTCCACTGGGAGTTTACAGGAATAAAAAAAACAACAACAAACAAGCACACGTCAGAGACCAAATATATTTTTAAAAATCACAAGTTGATATTCAGTCTTTTCCTTATAGCTTACAATTGTACATTAACAACATTGTTACGAACTTGGTCATTTTCATCTAGGCTAGGCTTTAAGGGTGGGTTAAAGGTTAGAATTCCGTGAAGGAATGAAGTATGAGGATTCTACAGCTTCGTAAAATTTGGGGGTCATTGCTTTAATGTATGTACAATTATTAATTTATATAGATCCAGAATGGCTAAGTTGACCTCTATTTTAACATATAACCATCATACTCATTATATACTAACATTCAGGAAACTATACGATGCAGATAGACACACCATTTTGACATTTTATATACATATCTCTGATTGAAGGATGCACATTTTCAGTGAAATTCTTTCACAAGTACAAGTACCATCTAACAAAATTACATGGTGGTCTTAGTCATAATCTTAAAATCTGTCAATCTAGTATGTATGTTTTAAAGATAACGTAACAAAGCACTATCGACGAATAATAAGGTTCAGTGTAGTCTTGTACTCCATCTAAAGCACCTTTATATCGAGTATTTCTATTTTAAGAAGATCTACTTTTAAATTAAAATAAGTGTAGATGCTTCAATGGAAGCTTTAAAGGAATACTTACAATAAAAAACGTGTTACTGAGAGCTCCAAAAGGACTTGTCACTTCAACAGTTATACGGTGGATACTTACAATAAAAAACGCGTTACTGAGAGTTCCAAAAGGACTTGTCATTTCAACAGTTATACGGTGGATACTTACAATAAAAACGTGTTATTGAGAGTTCCAAAAGGACTTGTCACTTCAACAGTTATACGGTGGGTACTTACAATAAAAAACGTGTTACTGGGAGCTCCAAAAGGACTTGTCACTTCAACAGTTATACGGTGGGTACTTACAAAAAAAAACAAAAAACGTGTTACTGAGAGCTCCAAAAGGACTTGTCACTTCAACAGTTATACGGTGGATACTTACAATAAAAAACGTGTTAGTGAGAGCTCCAAAAGGACTTGACACTTCAACAGTTATACGGTGGAAACCTTCAGTCTGAAAGGTGTGATTCTATAGAGAAAAAAACACAATAATCACGCATTAAACTCCAGTTAATACACGTAAAACATTTAATGTACACATCAACTCTTTCCCTACCACACTCTATATCTTTGTTTCAGCCGTGAAAAAGGTGATACTGAGTACGGGTTCTGAGAAACAGGTTGTATTAAGATGAGTTTCTAATTAATTAAAAAACAAAAGCGTTGCATATTAATTTGACCCCTCCCCAGATTCACTGGAAGCCGTTACACTGGTAATAACAATGTTATTTTCAGCCATCGTTTTATCAAAATTGACATGCCTGACAACAAATGCATGTTATACCATTGATAACCCATACAACTTTGCAATAGCCGTAGCTTCCAAAACAAAGCTTCAGATCTTTCTTTGTATGATAACCAAAAACATCATGTTCTACTCCTAGCTCTCGTATCAAGGTTACCAATTATACCATTGATAACCCATACAACTTTACAATAGCTGTAGCTTCCAAAACAAAGCTTCAGATCTTTCTTTGTATGATAACCAAAAACATCATGTTCTACTCCTAGCTCTCGTATCAAGGTTACCAAAAGTGGATTGTTTCATTATATACTGTCTTGACATAATTACTATGAAGACTAACGACAAGTGTTTCGTCACGATCTAGGTTATTTTGATACTACAGATTTTGACTACAAGCGTTTCCTCACGATATAGTCTAAGCTTGATATAGTTACTACAAATTTTGACTACAAGCGTTTCCTTACGATCTAGTCTAGCTTGATATAGTTACTACAAATTTTGACTACAAGCGTTTCCTCACGATCTAGTCTAGCTTGATATAATTACTACAAATTTTGACTACAAGCGTTTCTTCACTACCTAACCTGGCTCGATATCATTCATACAAAGGTCGGTCATCTATTAAATTCCTGAATATGCTCCATTACAACGAGCGAGTCCCAAAGTTCCACCAAACTGTGAATCAGCGATTGGCCAGCATTTACTAGTGAACCCGACTTGTGCAAATGGTCTGTCAACCTTTCAACTCTATATTTTGGAAGCCACCTTTATTAAAGCACATAAACCTGTCTTTTGCTGCCAAAAAGAATTCCTATACAATCTACACATCCTTGTGGAATGGTTATTCTCATTGATATCAATGGTGTTGTTATTCAGCCAAAACATAGCCATGAAATAGGTGAATTGATTAACCGAGTGTTGTTGTTTTTGAAAGCAGAACGCAAATTCTAAAGCTTTAGGTTTAAAATTCGACAGTTATTCAATAATTCAATACCAAGTGAGTGAAACTGTCCGATTTACGAACATTATTTAAAAACTAACGTGTTCAAAGTTGTAACAGTTTAATCATCAGTTTATTAAAAGACAATGTTCTATTAATTTTTAAATTATTAAATAGCATCTTTACTTACATTCCGAGAGACTGAAAGATCTGTTTAGTATGGAAGACTTTGAAACAGATGTGTTCAAGATCCACTGAATAGATGTTCAATCTGTTTCTAAGAGTTTCAATCTTGCATATACAAAACTCGTTTCTATATTTTTATTCTGATCATTAGTTTGTAATAGCACTTCTTAAAAGGGGACCTATGATTGGTGTGAGTGTGCAACTTCTTTAGACATATATTTAGAGTACTTACCACATTACTCTGTTTGCAGCTTACACCAATACAAGATGAACTATTTCTACCGCCAGATGGAGTCTCTACGTATGTGGTGTCGTCATCACTAAAGTGCCAATGAAATGACAAGTCTGCACCTTGGGCTAGAAAAACCTGAAGTGGCACCCTCTGTTGAGTAAAAAAAATCATAGGGGGAGGCCGTTCTGGTTGGACTGAAATGTACGATGGGATACACGACGGGGTGTTCAGCTGTTCAGGAGGTGTAGACACTATCAGGCGCATGCCAGCGGGTATGGGTTGGATAACCTCCACGACCCTTTCTGACGACCGGTTGTAAAAGCCAGTGTTAAAGTTAACTTCTACAGAAAAAAAAACAAAACAGCAAGAAGCCAAATTATTCCCAAATGAACGAACATATAGGCCTGATTATTAATAGCTCTACATACTTGAACAGGATACAAGAATAAGCTAAAAAAAAGAAACGACAAGATGTAGTAGGTTGCTCTAAGGATATTCATTATAAATATAGTTTTAAACGAAACTTTCGTAGTTACGAGGGACCTTGGGAAGAAACTGATATGGTAGCTAGGGCAAAAGGAGTTTGGAAATAGGAGACTTGGAACCTAACAAGTTACATAATAGTTTTAAAGTTCAGTCTGTAGGATTTAAAGATACCACAGTAGATTCATGAATAGGCTTAGCTGCTAATGTTATAATTTTAATATTATCAGGAACAAAATGAACGAGTTCGGAGCTCAAGTTAAAATGGAAAACTAGGATTTAATAGGAATTTCTGAAACTTGGTTATATCTGGAGAGCACTGATAATAAGAATCATTTTGAAATTCCAGATTATGAATTACTTGATAGTGACAAACTTTTTAAAAGAGGAGGTGGAGTGGTTCTTTATATAAGGATTGAACTACTTGCAACCTTTTGTGATTAAAGATAAATAAAAGGGTTACAAGCGAACGGTTTCAGAGGTAGGAAGTTTTTAATTCGCAACTGTCATAAGCAGCCTGATCAAACAGACAAGGTCAATAAGAAATTGTAAACTGAAATCAGGATTGTTAATGATAAGAGTACTGTTGGCAATAATTACAAAATAATTTAATTTTAGACACATTGTTTGGGATTGTATAAAGTCAAGAGAGATTTCTTCAGGTAATTCAGGGTTGTTGTTTTTTTTATCAAGTGTCAGAGACCCAACCAGGAGGTTAATCTCTAATGAGGAGACAACAGCAACAAGTGGAGAAGAGAGATAACTGAATAATTAAGTAAGATATTTTGTTACCTGTTGAGATAAAAAGAAATACAATTTTAGAAAGCCAATTCTGGGCCACAATACATGACACAATAGTTATCGTTAGTGGATTGGGTCGATGGGTTAAAGTATAACGTGGAAAAGATTAGGAAAATTTCTAAAAATAAGTTGCTTTTAATTCACGATAGGTCTGTTCCTAGAAAAAAGAAACGCATAACGGGTAAGATCCAGCATTACTAAAGACATAAAGGAGAAAATCAGAGATAAATGGCATAAGTTTAAGAAGTTCAAATAACAGATAGTTGTTTGGAAGACTTACAGAACTATAAGAACCTATGGAATGAATTAAAAATGAAAATAGTAAACCTAAAAGGGCTCATGAGCAACAGCTGCCTGATAACGTTAAGATCCCGGGTCAGCGCGAAACCCACTCTTGGGGCTGCCTTGTGTGCTATTTTAAAAACTATCAAAAATAAACGGGCAAAGTGCGCAATAGGTGCAGAATGGTCTTAAAAGGCGAGAGCAACATCAGAATTTAAAAAGCTATTTTAAAAAGTATCAAAAATAAACGAGCAAAGTGCGCAATAGGTGCAGAATGGTCTTAAAAGGCGAGAGCAACTTTCAGAATTTAAAAATCCTTTCTGGTCGCGGAGAAATAGGCGAACATAATCGGCTACCTCCCGACTTCCCTGAAAATCAGATGAAGGATTCGGAATGCTTTGATTTTAGCGAATATTAGTTATTTGAATTCCAATGATGTTATTAATCTATTTCAATACATAATTAGTGAGAATAAACACGTTTCTAGTTTTCTTCTAATACGTCTTAAATCTCAATGTCCAAATCTTGTAACGAATCACTCTCTTCAGCACACATTTCCACTCTGTTCTTCCTCTTCCTGTCGATCAAGGGACTTTGCAACCATTCTTTAATCAACCGTGGAAACCATTGTATTAGCCAAAAGACAAAGCTGAATAACGTTTTTCTCCAGCTTATTCCTATCATCCATTCGTTTAGGATCTTCAAGCAATCCCTGAAACATATCTGGATCAGATGGACACACTACCTTTAGAACTCCATTACGCACAAGACGACAGACACACTTGTATGGCTCTCAACTTGTATGGTTCTCCCGGGCTCAACTAGTTTTTATCCTTTGATACTATTCTTTGGAAAATCATTGAGAGTGAGATCTGCTCAATGTTCAAGATCGTAAAAATTTCCTTCAATTTCTCAAGATTGGTCAGTGCACTACCGGAAGAACCTACTCCATCATTAGAGGACGATTCATCATCTGAGCTGCCATCTAATCCATTAATGAGGATCTCTCGATTAGCTCCTCTAAGTGCTGATCGTCTAGTCATCATTCTCTTTTTTACTGGCTTTTGTATCTTTTGCACTACTCCAGTCTACTTTGGTGGATAACCTGGCAATGTTTTGCTGTACATATAGCTGAAGGATCAATGTTTTGCTGTACATATAGCTGAGGGATCAATGTTTTGCTGTACATATAGCTGAAGGATCAATGTTTTGCTGTACATATATCTGGAGGATCAATGTTTTGCTGTACATATATCTGGAGGATCACAATGTAAACACATTTCACAACTTCCTTTCTTTTTGTATTTATGTTCTTCACATGACCCTGACTTTCTCGTAACTTCGGTTATACTTGCACCGCGTAAAAATGGAAAACCGATTTCGAAATAGCTGAATTGTTGTCATACGGCAGTGTTATCCGGTTTTTATGATATTTTTCCACGCAGAAAATTATCATAAAATTTTAATTTTTTTCCGGCTAAAAACTAATTTTGGGTAGAATTCTGACTGACCGAGATCTTAAACTAACAACAAAGTTTTTTTAAGAATGCTAAAAGTAAACAAAACACTAAAATTAGGATAAGGTCATAATAGAATGCTAACTGCTAAGTTTTATGAATACTATGAGATATCTTCTCTTTCGTTTTTACAAGAGAAAGGGTGTGGACTTGGGTGCTTACATTCTGAAAACAATGTTAACAAGGCGTCACATAAACAATTAGCTAAGAAACTCATATTGGTAGAGGTTGGGGTAAGATTATTTGGATTTTGGAATTGGAAGGATGGAAAAAATAATTGAGATAGTACTTTGTTGCTAGTAGTAACGCTAACAGAAGTTTACAGAATATATCTATAGCATAATGTCTACAAATCGGCCGCGGTAATTATATTTCTATTCATATCACTATTTAGGACTCACTTGGGATACTAAGAAAGGATAATAAATTACTGGTTTCTTTTTTTATTTATTTTTAGGGCAAAGCACATTTGGCTATCTTCTGTGTCCACCACAGGGAATCGAACTCCGGATTCTAGCATTGTAAGTGCGTAAACTTACCGTTGTCACACCGGGAGACCTAATTAATTGGAAAGGGTTCAGAGGAGGGCTACTAGGATGATACCAAGCATGGAAGGTTATCCTACAGGGATAGGTTACAACCTCTTAATTTGAATTTTATTGTGAAAAGATGACTAGGAGGTGATGTTATAGAAATTTCCAAGATTATCCAAAGAATTAATAGGATAAAGGCTAGTGATTTCTGTGTGTGTGTGTGTGTGTGTGTGTGTGCACTACTTTATTCTCAAAAATGACAGGATGAGAGGACACATGTTTACAGTTTAGAAAGGACAGACTACACAAATACTATTGCTATAGAAATAGAGTTTGTTTGTTTTTGAATTTCGCGCAAAGCTACACGTCCCTAAGTTAGCAGTGTAAGACT